ATTGAGACCTTTCATTTGAGTACCCACATTAATTTTTCATATATTTTATATATTTATATATTATATATAAATATATAAAATATATGGAAAATTGATGTGGGTACTCAAATGAAAGGTTTTGATGAGCGTAGTGTCGGAGTGAGCTTATATCTTTAAAAATGTCAATTGTGACAATAGTCACAAGATACAAGGTCATTTCTTAATTATGTTAAATTGCACTGTGCTTTCTTAACTATTGACATTTTTAAAAATATAAGCTCATCTTGATGTTACACTCATCGAGACCTTTCATTTGAGTACCCACATCAATTTTTCATATATTTATATATATTAAATATATGTATATATGAAAAATATATGAAAATGCATGTGGGTACTCAAATGAAAGGTCTTGATGAGTGTAACATCGGGATGAGCTTATATCTTAAAAAACGTCAATAGTTCACAAGATACAAGGTCATTTCTTAATTATGTATCTAGAGATAGAGCATTTTCAAATGCAGCCTAAATACTTATCATCATCATCATTAATTAACTATTGGTGAAAATGATATGAAACTATGATAAGGCACATTATATGATAAAACCCATTTCATCATATAAATATACTGGCTATAAAATTTTGCTTATTCTCTTAATAATATAGATAATTTAATTAGTATATTATGTAGTAGGTGTCAAATAAGAGTATCTTGACTTAAACAGCTGGTACTATTCACACGATACGATTTGATTCTATATTATGGGTATAAATGTAAACTGTACATGCTACTAGACTCTGCAACACGACACTTGGCGTAGGACAATATCCGCTAATGCATCAAGATGAGTCAATCGTTAATATAACAGGATACAGAGCTAACATAGTTTACAAATCTTCATTGTAAGTTATGATACTTGATCGTTGTCTAATTATTGTGACAAAACAATATTCTAAATCATCAATTGATTGATTAACTCTCTTAATTTAAGAATATGTGGAATATTTGTTTTAAAAAGATCTAACTTAGTTAAATGGGTCCGCTTTTAAAAGAATACTTGAATATTTAATAGCTTTGCCGAGCGGACGGCAATAAAACATTTAATCTTACGTCACGTAGTCTGGAAAAATGAAATTTTATGTATAAATAAACCCGAGAGACTGAGAAAAAGTGTGTTGAGAGTAATGGGAAAAATGAGAAAAGTTTAAGTGTTCTTTAGTGTAGGGTGTCAGCAGCTCATGTGCAGACCGATCTTTGTCAGCACTTAACGATCTGCGCGCGCTCTTGTACGCTTTGGCACGTGTCTGTTAATCATCAAAGCAACGACTGCACTAGCTTCTTACATTACTGCATAAGCTACATTTCACTAAGCAAATGACTCAATCTTTCACTTATTTCATTACTTGGATCTTTTGTAAAAGATTTCTTCTCAAATTTTTTACAAAAAGTTCTATAAAGACACTTTTTAATTAAAGATACGTTTTTAACAATTAAAACAATTATTTTGTATTATTAATTTTATAAAATAAGATTATTATTAATTAAAATATTTCTTCTTAAATTTTTTACAAAAATTTTTGTGAAGAAACTTTTTAGTTAAAGATAAATTTTTAACAATGAAAACAATTATTTTGTATTATTAATTGGAAAATAAGATTATTATTAATTAAAAGATTTCTTTTTAAATTTTTTAGAAAAATTTTTATAAAGACACTTTTAAATTAAAGATAAATTTTTAACAATTGAAACAATATTTTTTAAAATTATATGATATTAAAATCAGCAGACATCTGAATTTTTTTTTTAATAAAATCTTTACAAAAAATTTCTTCAAGAGTTTCTTAACATTTTTTTTTATTTATAATGAATTATTTATTAAAAAAAGTATTTAAATTTTATTTGTAATAATTTATTAAAAATCCTTTTGATGTCTGTTAATTTAAGTATAATTAAATTATAATTTATATATTTAAAAACGACCTCATAAAATAATAACTATATTATATCTTCAGAGAATAAAACCAAGCAGCAGGCCTAAATATTTAACAACTGGACATAATTTATACGAAAACAAACGACACCTTGTATACGGAACGGAAGGAAAAAAAATAGTTGAGCGTGTAAACGGAAAATCTCAAAAATAAAACCGAAAAGCGCCAGATAATATATCGCCGACTTGAGGGTCGTCTGTTCATATTATGTTAAAGTTAAACGTCCGCCCGCTATGCTTCTTGTACTCGTTTTTCTTCTTCACACACATATAACACCTATATCTATAATATAATACAGATACACATAATACTATAAAACAGAAATAGCTTCGTTGACATCTGACTACAAATTGCCCGCGTCATTGCGCTTCTCCGACTCCAAGAGAGATCCTTTCCGTAACCATTAAAAAGTTTAAAAAACCAAGAGAAGAATATATATCTGTATATAACAGAGAAGAGAGAAGAAATGAGCCGAGTAATCTCAGCCTTGCGTCATTAGCAGCTAATCATTAAGTGAGAAAATAAGAGACCAATAAAATAGAATTAAAGAAGAAGAAATAATAAATTATCCCAGGTCTTTGCAACAGTTCACCAGGAAAGTGACGACATGCAAATAGTTGGCGTGTAAATGGCCGAGCGGTAATTTTCACAATAATTTATCTTGTTCTCTTTAATTATTCTCATCTATTAGATTATATAAACTAACTTTGATGTTGGCTATATGTTTTTAAAAGATACTTCCATTGTATAGTAAACATTTCAAATTATTTTATTTATTTGTTGTTTGTTTGCTGATAGTTTTTTTTAAAATAAATAACAAAGCGAGTCTATCAAGCGGCGATTAAAAAATATTTTGCGAAAATATATTACTGTATGACATCCTTAGTCCTACGGGAAGTAAACAAAGGGAAGAAATAGATAAATAAATAAATAAAGTTTATGTTTCGGATTTTATGTGTATTAAACATAAAATATTTAATCATAATATACTTTGTAATGTAATTTAATATAATAATAATAATAATATAATATATAATGCACAGTTGACTCTTATGTACTCGCATGAGCAAGCTGGTCCACTATACACGATTATTAACATTTACGTTATTTAACTCACGCCTCGAGCCAGTTATTTATGTCCGATTTTATTATGCTTCTCTGGGATAACTCGAAACCGTCAGAGAACAGTGAACGCCCTGTTTTATTTAGTGGGCATCAATAAAAATCAAATAATAAATAAGAAATAAAATAAAGTTTAAAATTCAACTAGTAAAAATTTGAGCTTAAAGGTTTTATTTTTTGGGAAGAAATAAGAAATTTTTAGAGATTGGAATAGCGTTATTGATATTGATAATGATTATTAATGGTTACTAATTAATAAAAAGATGGGATTAGATGGAATTTTAGACCCGATGCCGGGTTGAACTTTCAGCTGTCGCGCATCATTCAACCCGTGTTTTACGTACTCTTCTCTGGTTTACGACTCTCTTAAGCTGATTCTAATTTTGTTTCTATGGCCACCGTGTAAGCTATCGGTCTGTTACTTGTGAAATCAAGTGTAAATTCCATTTAAAAGCCGACTATGTAAAAAACATATCCTTCTTATAATTACCTAATGACTAATGCACCCAAAAAGTTATATATTATGTTTTAATTAATTATAATAAATATAAAGAAGTTTTTTGATTTCTTCTTTGGAATTTTTGGTCAGTAGTTTGTAAATTTTTTTTTTATAATTATTTATTTATTTTATTTTATTAAATTATTTAAAGTTGACAACAAATCTTAGAATAAAAATTTCTTAAAAAATTTATTAAGGAAATTAAATTGTTAAAAATAAATTTCTGTTTATTAAATTTGAAATTATATTTATTTAAAAATATCTTTATTATTTTTTATGTTTAAAAATGATTTTCTAAATTAAGAATTTTTTTTTAATTGTACTTAAAAGAGTTATAAATTTTATATTTAATTACAATGTGAGGACTTTAGTGAAGTAACAAGCAAAAAAAAAGTAACTATACTTTTTTTTTTATTTATCATAAAATATTAATATAATAATAAGAATTTTTTAGACTGAAAAAAAAATTAGAAAAATTTTTGAAATTTTTTTTTTTATAATTATTTTATTAAATTATTTAAAGTTTATTAAAAAAATTTTTTAAAAAAATTTATTGAAGAAATTAAATTGTTAAAAATAAATTTTTATTTATTAAATTTGAAATTATATTTATTTAAAAATATCTTTATTATTTTGTATGTTTAAAAATGATTTTCTAAATTAAGAATTTTTTTTTAATTTTACTAAAGAGAGATAAATTTTATATTTAATTTCAATGCGAGGACTTTAGTGAAGTAGCGAGCAAAAAAATTACCTATAAATTTTTTTTTTATTTTTTACAAAATATTAAAATAATAATAAGAATTTTTTAGACTGAAAAAAAAATTAGAAAAATTCTTAAAATTTTTCTTGACTCAATAATTTTTCTTCTGAATAATTTTTTTTTTCAATGTATAAACTATGAGAACCCCTGGATCTGTAGGAGGAGCTTCTAGACGCAAACTCCCCTTTGAATCTCGCAATTATAAAAAAAGTATCACTAAAGTAAAATCAATTATTAATCTCGCCACGTAAATAATTAAAAACAAAAACAATCTCATTCAACTCTCGATATTGGTATCACTACGCATTAATTATCAGTAAATTATTAAAATAACGCAACGTTTTAATAATAATAGTGTATTTTTAAACGACATTACATACTGAATAATAATATTAGCAAATATCTTATTATTATTTCGTAATAAAGCGGGTGATTAATATGGTAAATTATCTTATTTTTAGTTAAATATAAATTCGCGTCATATCATGAATTCCACAACCCACAACTGTTTTATTATTTTAATAAAATATAGTAAACAATCTCTGGGAAATAAAACTATTTAAATATGTTAATGAACTGTGTGTGGTTGATAATGGTTAATCACTAACTTTTAGAGTAATAAAAATTTTTATTAATATTTTTACAAAAAAAAATTTAACCAATTCCGAGCAATAAATATATGTTTATTTAATAAATACATGACAATTTTTATGATAAATAACAATATTATTTCAAAAAGATTAATTTAAATTGTCCTTAAGTTTGATTGAAAAAATTTAGTCATGAATTTGCGCTCTTTTTATTATTTATTGGTCAGAATAATAATTTATATCTATCTATCTTTAATTAAATAATAATTATAATAATAATTGTTCTTTATGATATTTAAATGATTAATACATTTACATCTCTGATTATTATTTTTAAACTTAAGTTAATATTTAATCAATTACCAATTAAAAAATCCTCACTATCTTTCTTCTAACCGATAATTAAAATTATTTGAACAATGTTGATTTTTAAAGAAAAAAAATCAATAAATTCCTTACGTATAAACGATAGAAAAAAATACATTTTAAATATAGTAACTACTAATCACAATTACAATTAAAAATAAAACTAGTCCGGGAAAATTTGCCGACGGATAAAGTTCTCAATGGCTTTGGGGATTAAATTGCTTATAAATTATAATTACTTTGATAGTCAATTGATAATTCATATGTAACACTTGGGACGACTTTGGAAATCCATGCTGGGGAATCCTGTTGATGAAACGTTGGCTGACATCGGTGATCCGACCATCGAACTTCCAACGCCGATAGTTCCTAGTCCACCGGAGGTGACAGTTGAACTTCCAGGTTCTTCTTTGACATTGACCACTAGGTAACAAGCAAGAATCAAATATATCAATTAAATAAAACTAGCAACCTTGCAGTCACTATTTGACTGCCGTGACTCGTGAACTATAAATAAATAAAATTTTGTTTGATTAAATAATGACTTTTGTTAAATTCCACTGTACTTTCTTAACTATTGACATTTTTAAAGATATAAGCTCATCCCGATATTACACTCATCAAGAGCTTTCATTTGAGTACCCACATGCATTTTGATATATTTTTCATATATATCATATATACATATATGTAATATATATAAAATATATGAAAAATTAATGTGGCTACTCAAATGAAAGGTCTTGATGAATGTAACATCGGAATGAGCTTATATCTTTAAAAATGTCAATAGTTCACGAGATACAAGGACATTTTTTAAATATTGACATTTTTAAAGATATAAGCTCATTCCGATGTTAAACTTATCAAGAGCTTTCGTACGAGTATCCACATGCATTTTTGATATATTTTTCATATATACATATATGTAATACATATAAATATATAAAATATATGAAAAATTGATGTGGGTACTTAAATGAAAGGTATTGATGAGTGTAACGTCGGGATGAGCTTATATCTTTAAAAATGTCAATAGTTCACGAGATACAAGGTAATTTCTTAATTATGTATCTAAAGATATAGCATTTGCGAATGAAGTCTAAATAATTATCATAATAAATTGACTATGGGTAAAAATGATATAAAACCTTGAAAAGGCATAAATTCAAATCAAGACCTTTGCAATGACACAAAATTTTACTAAAAAATCCGATTTTATCATATGACTATCCTGGACACAAAATTTTTCTTATTTTCTTAATAATATAAATCATTTTTAGGTCGTAAAAAATTTATAAAGCTGTGACTCACTGTCTGGCCAATATGATCTTCCAGCCATGGCATCAGCGGTGACGGATGTGTCGTGACGTCTTGAACAACTACCGAAATTATTGCCTACAAATGAACTGCTGGGCATAGAACCCGGAGAACTGGTGGTACTACCTGAAACGTCGATGTAATTTCCTTGAAACGCTTTGATCCGCCGTCAACTTTGGTACTTCTATAAGTTTTAATAATTGTCAAAATAGAGGCGAAGAGACTCACTTAAAGAATTAAATTGTCCGTAGCCGTTCATCGTGGGTATTTGCATCGACTGCATTGGTTGGAGTTGAGGTTGGAGCTACATAAAAATACAATTATAATTACATAAAAATAATAATTACTTATTATTAATTATACAAAAAATTCAAAACATTCTTTACAGGTAAAACTTACCGCTTGACAATGACTGTATGACAACTGAGGCTGTTGGAGACTCCACGTGCTAGTTTAAACAAGTATTTCAATGATTAATGCATGATTCATCATGATTTAACTATAAAATTATATTAATCACCTGGCATCGTATCTTGTGTACGCAGTTGGAGCATAAGAAGGTGGAGAATGCGCGAAAATATTCCTCGTTGCTCCTAGATGAACATGACTCGTCGGATACGGATCTCCGAATAACGTTTTATGGTGATAAGAAGTCCCTCTGTACGGTCTCTTCATGCGCTTACGTCTTTTGTAATTGCCATTTTCAAACATGTCATCAAACTGCGGATCTGATGATCAAAAATAATTTTAGAATTTTATAACAATTTAATTATTATGAAAAAAATTTATGACACTAAAATTAGCAAACACTTTTATTGAAAAATAAATTAGGTCTAGAAAATTATTTTCAAAAAATTGCATTGACAATTTTTTAGATCTTTTAAAGATTAAATTTTTTAAATGAATTTTTTTTTGCTATAATTTATCTGTTAAAAAATTATCAAATGTCTTTCACTTGATCATTTATTTATTTTATTTAATAAAAAATTTTTTATAAAAAATTGCATTTTTAAATTTCTACATGTCAAATTTTTTGCAATAATTTATTTGTCGCCAAAATTCTTAAATATCTTCTAAATTAATTTTCATAAAAATTTAATTAAAAGATTCCGCATGTGAAAAATAAAAAAAAAAATATTAGTGGAATTTTTTAAAGCATTTTTTTATTAAAGTGTCGGCTAACATTATTATCATACTTCAGTATAATGAAAGAAAAACACTCACCAAGTGTCCAAAAGTTTCCTTTCCGTTCACCACCACCTTCTCTAGGAACTTTGACAAAACACTCATTCAAAGAAAGATTATGCCTGATGGAATTCTGCCAGCCTTTTTTATTCTTCTCATAATAAGGAAACTTATTGGTAATGTATGAATAAATTTCACTCAACGTCGCGCGTTTGTGCTGAGTGTGATTAATCGCCATGGCGATCAGCGCGACGTAGCTGTAAGGAGGTTTTATCAAAGTCGAAGAAGCCTCACTGCTGTTGGAGATGGACCCAGTGGTGCTGGCCTCGTTGGTGTTGGCCGAGAGGTTGGTGTTTGCACTCGTGGACGAGGCATTTGGCGTCGAAGATGTCGAGGTTTTCGCGCTGCTCGAACTGTGAAGTACTACAGGCGGGGACGCACCGGTCTTGTCATCGCAGTGATGATGATGGTGATGACTGGTTGGGTGCAAGGAACTCGACGAGTGCATTGATATCGCTGACCGAGGACTGTTGTGGTTCAAGTGATCGTGCAAATGACCCAGCGAATGCGGGTGAGTTGTTAAACTTCGCGTGAAATTATTCACCGTCATGTCCAAGTCTTTTTGCGTACTCATGCATCCTGAAGACATGTCTGTTACATAATTACTTACTGAAACAAATGTTAATAATATTCTGTAAATATAAATCTTATATTTCTTCTTTGTAAGCGATGGTTCCAGATTCAATAACACCTGAGTCAAGCTTCAAATTATACAAAAAGTTTGGAAAATCCAAAAGTGCACGCCTCATAATCTCATTTTTCACAATAAAATTGATTAAAGTAAAATATAAAAAGCGAAATAATAAAAAACAGAAAACTATGGTATGGTTTAGAGGCGGCATAATTCTAAGGTGAGGAAAAAAAAACTATAATAAAATGTATAGATGGATATACAAAAAAATCCACAGTCATATATTAGTTTTTTTATAAAATAATTTAACGACAGTGAATTGAACACTCATATTAAGGAGATCCAAGTACCCTTTTAGTGTAAAGAATGTCTATAAAACAATAATACGTAGAAATATTTTTGTTATGTATTTTAAAATTAATAAATAATTATTAACATTTAATTGACTAATACAAAATATAGCACTCTGAATTACCGGTGTGCACTTGACAACACCGCAAGAGTTTACTAATCTTAAAATTTATTTATGTAAAAAACCGCGGTTACTTATACGCCGAGAAACTGCACAAGTGGTGTTGCCAAGTCAAATACAAGACTTTAAAGAACAGAAGTTCCTTGTAATTTTTCATAAAAAATATGAAATATCTCCGTAATACGTTCGGAAATCTACTTTTTTTATTGTTTTAATCGAAAGCTTATTATTTGTTCAATCAAATTCAATGAAAATTGAATCTTGAAAATGAAGTTTGAATCTTCTTCATGAAGCGTGAACGAGACAATGAATTTTAATTAAAAACTTTTGATATTCATTCTCACATTTCTGTTACATGAGTTTATCATCTTAGATTATTATCTTTTGTACTTTGCACCACCGAACTTTACTCTTTAATTTTTAATTTTTTATACTAAAATTTATACTTTTCTTTTAGTTATCATAACTACATTCCAAATAAAAAAAAAAAAAAAAAAAAAAAAAAAACGATTATTTCTTAATATCTAAAATCTTGAAATTTTATATCTTCATTATTCATACGTGTACTTGATTGTAATTTTTTTTTTTGTATACTTCTGCCATTTGGCTACACTGCCTTGGCATTGAAATTAAATAATAAATAAATAAATAAAATTTTTTTAAAATCGTCAATTGCATTAAATTATTAACCAAATACACTGCTGGTGAAATCTCCATTTACTTACATGTAAAAATTACAATTTTCAAACCTAATTATTTTATTAAATATCCTCGAAACCTATTTTTAAAAAATTTTTTTATTAATTATTAAGCTACGTAAATTGAACTAACAAATTTTCAGAAAGTTTTAAAAATTTCATTACTTCGCGTGGATCTCCTTAAATTTCTTCTTTGTAGACGATGGTTCAGGATTCAATAACACCCGAGTCAAGCTTCAAATATAAATACCGAAAAAATTCCAAAGTATTCTTCAGGAGAACCAATCGCTTCTTTTTTATTCACAAGATTGTTATCAATTTCTCCGAAATTGAAACAATAAAAATCAATGGACTAGCAATGCTGGGTATTATAATTATAATAATAAAACGCGGGCTTGTGAGCCACCAAGAGTTCTCAGAATCTGGTGGAAGTCATCGAGCTATAAACAATTAGGTCGTTTAATATAAGAGTAATAATACAAGACCTAAGAACGAATTCGAAACTCTTATATTATATCAAGTACTCTTTTTTTTTTATTCTTCGATACCGATAAACAAAAATTAAACTTTACATTAGTCGCTGAATAAAAATATCATATATTCAAATTCTTCTTGAAAAAATTAAAAAATTTTAGGGACTTGCGTTCTTTTATAAATCTGCAATCTAAAATTTGTGGAGAAATTCATTGGTGCATAAAAACGGTACGCGATATAACAGTATTGTAAACAAAAATGTATTTTAGTACTGAGTCCTTACCACGCGACCACGTAGTCACGTTTCATTGAACGAAAATCGAGTATTGTTGATACTCGTTCACTTCTGAGTGTGTTTTTATGTCTACTTGCTACCGGAACAAAATATATCGTACGTGCTTGCAACACTATTTGAATTATTATATTTATATGACGGGATTGTATTTATATTTACTTTAAGTCAAAAAACTTACATCTATTTCCTTTAAATATTTTGGAAATTATAGATAAAAACTTTTGAAGTTTTTATTCTATGAGAAGATATGAAATTGACAATTATTTAAAATTAAATAAATAATAGATTATGTTTGATAAAAAAAAATATATCTTCAAATTTAAAAATTTTCTTATCTAAAGTTAAAATTTAACACTAAATTTTTCACTTTAATTTGTATTTCAATTTACTCATATGTTACTTAATTAACAATTTATTGTATTGCATTTATTATAATGTTTCTGCTTTATTATCTAACTACACTATTTAATTATTACTTATTAATTATATCCAAATTTTTGTATTATTGCCATTCGGCTAAGCCTTGGCATATAAATTTAATAAATAAATAAATAAATTTTCTGCAAGATAGTTATTATAATAATAAAAAAAAAGAAAAATTAAAACAGCAAAAGAAGAGTATATATAATTAATTTACAATTGTGATAGAAGTTCCTGATCTACCACAAAAGATCCGCGTGCTTTTTAAAAGTATTTTATATGTTTTGAAAACAAATAAAGATATTAAAGACTGTCATAACACTGTTTTTTGTAAACGTTTAAATAAACTCCCGTCAATTCCTGTTTAAAATTCAATCTACTTTTTTTACAGTATAAAATAATATATATGTTTACATTTTTTTTCAATTATTTTGTCAAAATATCTATTACATAAATATATTCTCGCTAAAATAATCATATTCATGCCTTAAAAAAAACTACCAGAGGAAAAAAAGGGTTCGAGGTCGTATCGTGATGACTTATAAACTCGGAACAAAAAATTTAATCACCGGGGTTTAGTATTCGTAAAATGCTAAGAGTAAAATATGTATTCGTAAAGAGCTAAGAGTAAAATATGTATCGTTGATAAGCGTAATTTAATCCGATCGTGACATCACACATTGTGTTACTGTTATTAGTTTATTACTGTGAAAGAATACTAGTCGCATTAATTTTATTATATTATGAAATCTTTTAAAATTACTACCCTCAATTATCGAATGTTTTTATTCCAGCAATAAATACCTATCATATTCAAATTGTTGAAGTCTTTGCCAATTAATAATTAGTCAATTAGTTGGAATTTTGTTTTTAAATTTCAAAATTATTAATTGCATAATTTATTATTTTACTTTGTTGCAAAAAATATTTGGCATATTGTTTAAAAAATTTAATATCAAAATCAATGAATTATCAAAAGAACAAAATTATTTTTTCAATTTTATATTTTCATCTACACTATATAGAGAATAAGCAAAATTTTGTGGCCAGTGTATTTATATTATAAAATGGGTTTTTGATAAATTTGGTATCGTTGGAAAAGTCTTGATCTGGAGTTGTGATGCCTTTTTAATATGATTTCATATCATTCTCACCAATAGTTAATTCATTATGATAAGTATTTAGACTGCATTCAAAAATGCTCTATCTCTAGATACATAATTAAGAAATGACCTTGTATCTCGTGAACTATTGACATTTTTAAAGATATAAGCTCATCTTGATGTTACACTCATCGAGACCTTTCATTCGAGTACCCACATAAATTTTTCATATATGTCATATATTTATATATTTATATATGAAAAATATATCAAAAATGCATGTGGGTACTCAAATGAAAGCTCTTGATAAGTCTAACATCGGGATGAGCTTATATATCTTTAAAAACATCAATAGTTAAGAAAGTACAGGACATTTTCATAAATATCTTGTGAACTATTGACATTTTTAAAGTTATAAGCTCATCCCGATATTATACTTATCAAGACCTTCCATTTGAGTACCCACATCAATTTTTCATATATTTTATATTATTACATATATGTATATATGAAAAATATATAAAAAAGCATGTGGGTACTCAAATGAAAGCTCTTGATAAGTCTAACATCGGGATGAGCTTATATATCTTTAAAAACATCAATAGTTAAGAAAGTACAGGACATTTTCATAAATATCTTGTGAACTATTGACATTTTTAAAGTTATAAGCTCATCCCGATATTATACTTATCAAGACCTTCCATTTGAGTACCCACATCAATTTTTCATATATTTTATATATTTATATATATATATATTAATATATGAAAAATATATGAAAATGCATGTGGGTACTCAAATGAGAGCTCTTGATGAGTGTAACATCGAAATGAGCTTACATCTTTAAAAACGTCAATAGTTAAAAAAATACAGTGCAATTTAACAAAATTTATTTAATAAAGCAAAATTTTACTTATTTATAGTTGACAAGTCAGTACAAAATTTTTAAAACCAAAAAAACACATAAGAAGAAATATTAAAAAATTTTAATTAAATCAACGACTAGCCATAATAATTTAAGAAGAAATAAAAATTCCAACAAATATAAGTTTTAAATAAAATAAATAATGAGTAATATCATCTCTAATTGCAATCAGGTGTTAACTATGACTTACTCTGGACATAAAATCTTGTTTATAAAGAAGCACGCGAGTTTTTTTTCGCTTGCGCGTCAAAAATGCGAGTCGAGATAAAATAACTCTAATTAAATGAAATAAATTGAATTTGAGAGCGGTAGTGGAGATGAAGTTTTTTCTAAAGTCTTTTATTTCAGTCTCAGTCTCAACTTCTATCTCTCGGTCCTCCACTCTGGCAACAGAGTATCTAAGTCAGCGGGCACGTGCTTGCTCTCATCGTGATATGATGTTTTCAGTTGATACAATTAGCCATGATATAAGTGCCCCAGGGTATTTAGTGTAACTTGACCTACGACCTCTCTGTCACCCCAACGATACATCACCAATAATAATAATAATAATAATAATAATAATAATAATAATAATAATAATAATAAATAATAATACCAGCAGTTTTATAAATTAGTCTTTATTTCTTGTCATTGCAAAAAATTTTCCAAAAGTTCAATTGAGAACTTTAAATAAATTAAAACACACAATTGTTATCGCAAATTTTTCCGTATAAGAATCTGGGACTAAGCCAGGGCAATGGGTCATCTTTGAAGCGATAGCGCATCTTGTATTATCACTTGACAAACAGCCAATCGAAGTTACGGATCTCGACCTCAGGATAACGTAATGTAATTGCAATCTACTTAGCCAGACGGATGCTGTAAATTTTCCGCACTATTACAATTTAACAGTATTTCGCTAACCGCTTACATAATTATTATAATTTATAATATATATTATATTTTATTTTATATAATTCTAAAAAGTCTACAACATTATAACATCTGCTGATTTTTATCTTTTTAAAAAATAAAAACCGGGAAATTGAGTGAATAAATAACTTGTAAATAAAGTAAACAAATAAAATACTCCAAGTAATATAGACATGGATAAATAATTATTTGGATAATTGCCAGTTTAGTATATTACACTAAATTCATTGACTTTAAACACTAAAAGCAAACAAATGATACAAGACATACATGATTTAGAGTATGTATCTTCACCTGCATACATTTAATTTGAAATTTTTATTTTATGTTATTTATTATTTATAATACACGTAATATAATATACATAATATTAATATTTTATTTTATTATTAATGCATTGATATTTATATTTATATTTATAAATGTATTACGATAAAATGTTACTTATATCCCTCTTATCTCGTGTAACGATTGGCCCCAAAGCATGCCCTTGTTTACTACGAATCTATAAATATACATATCACTGAAAAAATTTTAGTCAATGTAAACTGACAACCCGATTGAAAAATAAATAAACAAAAATTAACAACTCATCGACGTGTGATTGAAGGAAATTTTTACGTCAAATAAAGCTTACGTCAATCACGTTAGCTCTGAAAATTTTTTTGTTACTTTTGTATAAGTAAAAGAAATTCAGAGAAATTTTGATTGAGATTAAATTGATAAAAATTTTTTTCTGCTGGTTTTTTAAAGATGTAAAATGAAATCGAGATAGTCTGGGGATTTGATATAAATGCAAATATATATTTTTATTAATAAAGCGAAGAGCTTAAACTCAGCTGCCGAGTCGGTCTTTTTACACGCGCGTACTCAAACAATTACACTTAAAGTTATCTTGAGTATATAAGTTGTATTTTATAGTATGTAGTACACAGTTTAGAAGAAGAGATGAAACGCTAAAACGGGCGGTGAGAATAAGTATAAAGAATAATATAAAAATTACGGAATACTCAGCGCGGTATGGCGTTCATAGGACCATATATCAGGTCACCGTAAAGCTCTCCAAGATTAGCGACCCGTAATTCTTGCCCTCTATTTTATATATACTTATGCTTATATATTTTACATGGATCATGGATCTTATAATTAAGTATACATAGCTTTTCGGATGTTTCTTCATCCGGGGGATTTTTTTTATTTTTAAGTACCCGTATTTTAATTTTTGATACATTAATAATAATTATTATTTTTGATGGAGTTTTTTATAAATATATTGATTTTATACAATAAATTTATAAGTATGGAAGTAATTATTATTTAAAATTATGTAAAAAATTTTTCTTCTTTCTGATTTAATTTTAATACTAGCAACTTTGCAATCTCTATGTGACTGCCGTGAATTGTGAACTATAAATAAATAAAATTTTGCTTTATTAAATAACTTCTGTTAAATTGTACTGTACTTTCTTAACTATTGATGTTTTTAAAGTTATAAGCTCATCCCGATGTTACACTCGTCAAGAGCTTTCATTTGAGTACCTACATGCATTTTGATATATTTTTCATATATACATATATGTAATATATATAAATATATGAAAAATTGATGTGGGTACTCAAATAAAAGGTCTTGATAAGTATAATGTCGGGTCGAGCTTATATCTTTAAAAATGTCAATAGTTCACAAGATATTTGTTAAAATCCCCTGTACTTTCTTAACTATTAACATTTTTAAAGATATAAATTCATTCCGATGTTACACTCATCAAGAGCTTTCATTGGAGTACCCACTTGCATTTTGATATATTTTTCATATATACATATATGTAATATATATAAATATATGAAAAATTGATGTAAGTACTCAAATGAAAGGTCTCGATGAGTATAATGTCGGGGTGAGCTTATATCTTTAAAAATGTCAATATTTCACAAGATACAAGGTCATTTCTCAATTATGTATCTAAAGATAGAGCATTTTCGAATGCAGCCTAAATACTTATCATCATAAATTGACTATCGGTGAGAATGATATGAAACCTCGAAAAGGCACAAATTCAAACCAAGATCTTTGCAATGTCACTAAATTTCACTAAAAAACCGATTTTATCATATGACTATCCTGAAGACAAAATTTTTCTTATTCTCTTAATAGTATACATTAATTATAGTTTTATCATTTTTTCATACTCAAGTTCCGAAAAATTATTATTATTAAAAAATTTTTATATCTTTACTAGTAAACATTATCTCTTCTTTCCAACACGGAAATCTCAAATATTTAACTTTAAAATAAAATCAACTTACATCTTACATTACAAATAAATAAATAAATCTTTTACAACTAAAACTTTTTCCTATCACTTTAATACTCGCGATTAAATAAATATTTACATATAAATCTCAATGATAATCAATCTAAGTAATACAATACGAGATTACATACATAATACACTTACAAACTTCCATTCTTATCTCTTCATTTAATTGCTTCCGATATAATAAATTTCAAACCAAGTAAGACGATATCGTCTAAAATTTTTAGATTTTCATCATCGACAATACATGAAATATAAACTTTGGTAATCATCTCGAGACCTCCTGTGCTCATACTCCCAATCCCAAGAAATAAATAATTAATATACGAAATGAATGTAATTATTTAGCGTTATTTTGTGAGCAGTTAAGTGTAAATGTATGTTCATGTACCAAGCTCGTAAATAAGGATTTAAATGAAGATGTGTACAACGTACAAATATAAACTATTAACGAATAAGGCGTCTCCTTCGTCTCCTCAGTCTCCGACGCACTGTACAACTCATACGTCATTTACTACCACACGGTGTGACTAAATGCCGTGAAGAGAGATCAGGGCTCGCACGCTCCCGCGGTCCATCATGTCTATTTAATTCATTTCCCTCATACTCATCTTCATCCCCAGCTTCTTACTATCCATTTACATTTTTGATACTTTTTTCTCTCAATATACTCGCTATATATTATATTTTAGTATTATTAGAACTTTGGGACAAGTCAACTGGAAACTTGTGTCCAATTTTTCATTTCTTCTTTAATTTTAAGGTAAATGTTTTAATTTTTTTTGAGATTAGTGTGAATTTTTACTTAATTTTAAATTAAAATAATTGAATTTTTTATTAAAATTTCATTAATTAGACTTTTCAACAACAAAAGTCTCTTTTTTCAATATTAATTTTTTGAGTTTAATAAATAACTAGCAACCTGGCAGTCACATAGTGACTGCCGTGACTTGTGAACTATGAATAAATAAAATTTTGCTTTATTAAATAGTAACTTTTGTTAAATCCCACTATACTTTCTTTAATATTGACGATTTTAAAGATATAAGCTCATCCCGATGTTACACTCATCAAGAGCTTTCATTTGAGTACCCACATCAATTTTTCATATATTTTTCATATATACATATATATATATATATATATATATAATATATATTTTAAAGATATAAGCTCATCCTGACGTTACACTCATAAAGAGCTTTCATTTAAGTACCCACATGCATTTTGATATATTTTTGATGTATACATATATATAATATATATAAATATATGAAAAATTGATGTGGGTACTCGAATGAAAGGTCTCGATGAGTGTAACATCAAGATGAGCTTATATCTTTAAAAATGTCAATAGTTCTCAAGATACAAGGTCATTCCTTAATTATGTTAAATTGCACTGTACTTTTTTTAACTATTGACGTTTTTAAAGATATAAGCTCATTAAGATGTTACACTCATCAAGAGCTTTCATTTGAGCACCCACACTGAGAGAAAATATATATATATATATATATATATATATATATAGTAGTAGGGTGGAATATGTATTTATATGGATACTTGAAATTATTTGTTTTAATGACTTAATATTCGTATTAAAAACACATATTAGTATTTAAGAAAATTTTATTAAATACTAATAAAATTTTATTCATATGAAATATAATTTTATTACTATTAAATAAAATTTTCTCTCAGTACACATGCATTTTGATATATTTTTCATATATACATATATATATAAATATATAAAATATATGAAAAATTGATGTGGGTACTCAAATGAAAGCTCTTGATAAGTGTAACGTCAGGATGAGCTTATATCTTTGAAAATGTCAATAGTTCACAAGATCATTTCTCAATTATGTATTTAGAGATAGAGCATTTTCGAATGCAGCCTAAATACTTCGTCATATAAATTGACTATCGATGAGAATGATATGAAAAGGCACAAATTCTAATCACGACTTTTGTAATGACTCTAAATTTCACTAAAAAACACCGACTTTATCGTATGACTATCTTTGCTACAAAATTTCGCTTATTCTCTTAATAATATAGATTAAACGTAAAATAATGCTAAAATTTGGCTTCTATAATACGTATGCGCTATTTATCTTTTAAAATTGATACAATAATTATTAAAGAAGATAAATTAAGCACTTAGTAGTCAAATTACTTTATATTTGACTAATTATTCAAATAAATTAAAAAATTACCTTGATGAAGAGCTGGAAGTGACGGTGATAATTGATAAGGTTCTTGTTTTATTTTTAACGAATGAGGCGAATCTTGCAAACTACTCAAACTAGGACTTCCTAAACTGTCCTGCTGAATATCCTGAAAAAAAAAAAAAAATATTAAATTAGTAATTTAAATAATTTTTAACTAACTTTTTTTGTTATCTTCACATTTAATTTACAGATATTGTCAAATTACTTGGGCTTTAATGGCTAATTTTAAGAAATATACAATGGAATTTATAAAATAATTAATACGATGTTTGAATACTCAGGACAGCATGTCTATTGGCGAGTCTGGAACAATAGCTTCTTTCAAACAAAATTACCGTAATATTAAAGTTCACGGTTTGACCAAGGGATTAAATGTCACCAATTATGAGTAACTATTTATTTATTTATTTGCAAAAAAACACCATCGGCAATTTACAACATGCTACATTTTTATGTATAGAATTAATGATTTTATACAATACATAGCATCTGCAAAAAGAAGATAAATTTAAGAAATTAAAGAATTAAATTTCAAATAAAAAATTATAAAAAATTTCAAAGAAAAAAAACTTAATATTATATCAAAGATATTTTTTATTTATTTTATTTTTTTACTAATTATTATTTTTTTATTTTTCAGAATTGATTTTGATAATTTAATCTTTAAATCAGATTCTTTTAATCCGCAAATTGACTTTGTGGCTAATTGCAAACTTGATGGAAGACTATTACTGTTTCGTATTCACGGCCAAGGACCCTGCAATATAACAATGTGTAATTTTAATTTATTATTTCAATTATTTTAATTTTTTATTTTATTTTAATTAATTAATTTTTTTATTTGAATTATTTGAATTTATTTTAATAAATTAATTTTTTTATTAATAAATTTAATTAAAATTTTATTTTTCAGTGAACTTAAAAACAAAAAATACTTACTACGGTGAAAAATACGATAAGGATGATAAAACTTACATGAAACTTCTGAAGTACGATGTGAAATTCAGGCCGGAAAAAGTGATTCTAAACTTCGAAAGGCTTTTCGAAAAAGACAGTTTCTTGGGGACTCAAATAAACTCAATCCTAAACAGCAATTCTGATCTTCTCTTCCGAGAACTTCAAAGTTCTTACGAAGACACCTTCGCAAAAGTATTCATTAAATTCGGTAACGATATCTTCACACAAATACCCTTCAATAAGATATTTCCAGCTTAAGTAATCTTATTGTTTGTAAATAAAAAATTTTTTATATATTTTTATTAATAAAAGTTATTATTTTAAAAGAAACACAGGCATTTATTCACAAAAGGCTGCTTTAGCTACATTACTTTATTCGATTGCTTCATATTAATAATAATAATAATAATAATAATAATTATTATTATTATTATTACTATTGGTTACCAGTTACAATAAATCGGCTATTAGTTCTACATATACAAGAATGATCGTATAATTAGGTAGTAATATTTTTATAAACTGTTTATTATTACTGCTTCTTATCCGTCATTATTGACTTTAATAATTAATAGCAACTTTAAAAAATTCATTTTACTCAACACATCTCTTCAATCAGAACCAATTAAATTAACGCCGTAAAATCTTACAACTAATTTAATAAAATTTTTAAATATTGTCGGTGATATATATTTTTACATGTATAAATAAATAACCATCAACTGTTAGGTATTTAGTATTATTGTAGATGAAAAATGTTTATTGATTAATTTTATAATGAAGAAATGACAAATAATTTATTATGATCAATTTAGTGATGAAGAAATGAAATTAGGTACATTTATTAATTATTATTTTTATGATAACTTATTAGCTAAGCTTTCGTGTATTTTGTGCAGAAAAATTTATCTTCTACTCAAGGATTATTAAATATTTTATTTGAAAAATCTCTCAGTAATTTCACTGAAAGATTATTACTTTTATTACTAAAATTACGATAATTTAATATTTATTTTTATTTCTCAATCTATTTACTTCAGATTTAAATATTTCTTCTTTTGTATATTTATGAATAATTTTTTGCATTATATATATTTAATAATTTTTCATTAAATTATTCATAATAATTGTGAATTTACGGCAATGATATTTATCATCTTCTTTAGTAAAACACTCATTAAGAAGTAGTAAAGCTAATGCGCAGGTATAATTTATAATATAATATAATGTTTGTGTAATTATAATTTAATTTATTTTTTTTTTTTCTCGACAATTTATCAATCTTTTACTTATATCTTGGTCTTAGTAGAATCTTCTCGATAATAATTTATAAATCTTGTACAATACAACATTGCGGTTAAAAATTTAGTCTACCTTGTACTAAAAATACATACGCAAAAATATTTACACATATATATGTCTATTAAATTTTGTTATCAGCCAAAATATTATTATTTTTTTTTCTATTACTTCCCTTTTTTTTTTTATAAATAATTAATTAAAAATCATTGATATTTTATTAATGCGGTACAATTATAATTAATCAATACGTCTAAATTATTAAGATTTAATAATTAATTATCGCCCGTAATTAAGCATCCACGTATATTGGTGATGTTGTTGGTCTTTTTAGTTTATTCTGTATAGTATTGATAGTTAAATAACATTTTTTATTTTTATTTTTTCCTATTTAATTCATACGACCGGTAAATGGAAGGAACGAAAGTAAGGCATCATATATAATAACAATAATCATAAGTACATATATTGGGTATACACAGGCATATATTTTAGCTTATGTAACATGTACATATACACATATATAAATTTTATATATTTACACTACTAGTTGCAAGCGTATTTCATAAAAGTTTATTTGTTAAAAACCAAGTTAATGAAATATTTTATATTTCACATTTAATTACGTGCTTTTTAAATTATTTATTGCAAAACAAATGCATAAGTTTGTAAAATTCATATTTTATATTTATATATACATAATCTATGTTATGAAATAAATAAATTAAAAAAAATAATAAATAAATAACAAAAAAGTACAATAAAGAAAAAAAATCTTTTTAACTATGACACTTTTTAGCTGGATTGGGAAATGGTAAAATACTTAATGGGAGTATTTGTTTTTTTATATAGTTGTGGCAATTAGCAATACATCAATAGGCAATTTATATATAAATATATATATATATATATATATAGATGTATGTATATATATTTATATGGAGAGTACCCATACCTGTTCTTAACTTTATAGTTATTATGATATTACATAACATTACATAATAACAAACGTTCCCACGTGTAAATTATGTTCGGGTTTTTAAGAACATTTTTTTAATTATTATATACATTTTAATCTTTCACAAATATTTTTTTTTATCTCTCATCATCATATTAATTAATAGTTAAAGGCGGGCTGTATTTAGCGTATTGTAGTATTATTTACAATCATTTTTTTTTTTTTTTTTTTTTTAACTATAATTGATACATAACATGTGACATATATATTCACGCGTTACATATTACACATATCACGATTCCTAAATTCGCTCAGCATTTTTATACTCAAATATTGCAATCATCGGCATGTAATCAAAATTATAGCACTTTTTGTCTAATATATTTCTTAATAAGTATATCTACCGAAAAAAAAAAAAATTTTTTTTAATGTATAATTTTAGTTTCACAATTAAATTTTCCAATTTCAATAAATATTTTATTAAATATCTTTCAATATAAACTGTAAAAAATATTTATAGAGCAACTATAACGGACGTTTACATTTGTTGAATGTTTTTTATTTAGGATTAGGATCTATTAAAAACGTATAATCACTTTTAATAATCCAGGTCAATTATTAATTAAGAAATATAATGCTATTAATTATAATGCACGTGACAAAATACCATAATTCAATTTCTTCTTTCGAGCTGTTTTAAAAGTATTAATATTAATGTTTATTATATTTATATGTATAGATGTTAATCTTCATAATATATATATTTTTTTTTACGCAGTAAAGTATCTATCATGATACCTTTTTTAAATTTTAATTTTAACATTTAATTAATTAATCATTAAGGTCTTGTAATTGACTATCTTAAAAACGCAACAAAACTAAAAAACATTTAAAAATTATTTATGTTGACTTTAACGTCAAATTTCGCAAGTGATATTTCACATATATAATATCATTTCATTACAGCAATACATAATATCTTCTTTTTATTTTATTTATTTATTTCTTCTTTTACACTTAGAATATCAATATACGTTACGACTTAACAATAGTCGTGCTAATATTTGTCATATCACCTCTTATGCAAGCTCACCTATTATTTGGCATAAAAAATAAGTCTATTATAATTTATAATATATATATATTCATATTATTTTTATAATTTCTTCCTTCTTCCTTGTCTTAATAATAATAATAATAATAATGACATTATAGTTTATCATTATTATTGTGTATAAGTGTGTTGATAAATATTTAAGTAATGTTGTTGATAATAAGTGGCAGCGTGTTGTTTTACATTTAATTATTTACGGAATTAAATTGCAAGTGTAAAGTGTTGTTTATGAAGATAATTCGTGTACAATTTAATCTCTTTTTTTTCTTCTTCTTCTTCTTCTTATATATATAAAGAATATTTTAAATGTCTAGCTCGTACTTAGACATTATTTTAATTAATTCCCGTGTAAAAATCATCTGATATCATGATGAGGTTTATTATGAATATCATAATGAATCTTATATTTTGATACAAATATGAGATTCATATAAAAGCCATATTAATATACATTTGATACCCGTAATAAGTATAATATTTATGGCAACAAATTTTTTTTTAACTTGATTACAAAATTTTTATTTTTCTTCTTGGAGAAAATTTCTAGTAATTTAATAATAAAATCATTATATTAACATAAATTTCTAATGATATCATAGCGATGTTGTTAGCTTTTTTAAATCGTGATATAAAATTAAGTCATAAATATATACCGGAAATAATGCCAATTAATTAAATTAAAGAAATTTTTAGAAGAATTTAAATTGTTTTCAAAATAAAAAATTATTATCTTAAGACGAAAAAATTTTGTCAGTCAAAAATTTTTTTTAAACCAAGATAGAGTGTTTTTCTAAATATTCTTCTAAGTTAAGAAAATCAAGAAAGAAAAAGTAAAGTAGTTCAACAATAAAAATAGTGCTTTTCTCAATTATTATACTTTTCTTCTGATTAACAGAAAAAATGAAAATTTTATTAATTTACTTAAAAAAAATTTGTTTACATACATTAATAGAAGGATTTCTTAGCATTTAAGAAGATTTTTTTGTAATTAAGAAATCATTTCTTAAACATAATTTCTTAGTATTAAAAAAATATTTCTTAGTCTTTAAGAAATATTTCTTAGCATTTATAATATTTCTTAGTATTTAAGAAATATTTCTTAAATACTAAGAAATAATTTTTAAATACTAAGAAATGATATTTAAGAATTGATTTTTTAAATACAAAAAAATCTTTTGAAATACTAAGAAATTCTTCTATTAGTGTAAGTATTTTATTTATTACGGGTTTCAGATAAATATTGATTCAGCTTATATATGAATCTCATATTTGTGTCAAAATATAAGATTCATAATGAACCTGATCATGATATCAGATAATTTTTACATAGGAATATTTTTCACTTTATTAATTTAATTAATTAATATATAAGCAACGATAGCGTCCAATGTTTTCCCTCATTTTCAGATAAATATAAATAGGTATTTATAAATATTTATATTTATATGAAAACAATATCAGTTATATGTATAATCGCAAGACGAACAGTGACACTTGCTAATTGGGCATCGTAATAAATTCGAAGATATAACACAGAAACATCATATATTATTAAAGTAAATTAATATAAGCATTATATTATCTCAAGTTAATAGTATTATATCATCTTTTGACTCATTATCAAACGCTGTATATAAAATAATTCCAGCGTGATGTGATATAATTATTTATAAATTAATAATCACGATAAGCGTGATATTTTATTTACTAGTCTTATTTCCCTCGATTGATTTTTATATTAATATCATTATTTATCATTAATTTAGGTGTATTTTCAGAGACGACTATCAGTGTTCAAGGATCACTCTCCCAGCGGGTAAACTGAATGCGTCTTGTGTCCAAGGATGGCGACAGAAGAGACCCGAGAGAGGCGCTCGGTGGTGAACTTCCAAAATTTTTAGATGTCAACGGTGACTTGAGATGCCTGTGTCGAATCACCTCTCGCTCGGCAGGCAGTGGCCACAGTTCCTGGCGAACCGATTGGCTTGGATGATTTGACTATACACTCCATATTATTAATTTTAATGAGTTATACTGACTATTTCTTCACATGCTTTATGAATTTAATGATAAACAAGAGATTTATTATCAAACATTTATGATGATCATGATTCCTCTTATTTATTACATAAATATCAACTTTTAAAAATAGATACTTACCTGGAGCGAGAGAGCCTCATCTCAGGATTCACCCTGTTTATTTCTTCTTCCAGTAATGGATCCGACTAATGACTTCAAAGTTGCGCCGATTCCTCGCCCGTTTGGAGTGGTCATGTTATTTGAATTTCTAAAACCCTGGGGATGAGCGTCGAGGCATTTTTGATACCTCAACTTGAAAAAAAAAAAAAATTAAATGTAATCTATATTATTAAGAGAATAAGAAAAATTTTGTGTCTAGAATAGTCATATGATAAAATCAGTTTTTTTTTTTAAGTGAAATTTAGTGTCATTGCAAAGGTCTTGATTTAAATTTGTGCCTTTTCAAGGTTTCATATCATTCTCACTGATAGTCAGTTTATAATGATAAGTATTTAGACTGCATTCGAAAATGCTCTATCTCTAGATACATAATTAGGAAATTACCTTGTATCATGTGAAATATTGACATTTTTAAAGATATAAGCTCATCCCGACATTACACTCATCAAGACCTTTCATTTGAGTACCCACATCAATTTTTCATATATTTTATATATGAATATATAAAAAATATATCAAAATGCGTGTGGGTACTCAAATGAAAGCTCTTGATGAGTGTAACATCGGAATGAGCTTATATCTTTAAAAACGTAAATGGTTAAGAAAATACAGTGCAATTTAACATAAGTCATTATTCATTATGTACTAAGGCAAAATTTTATTCATTTATAGTTCACAAGTCATGGCAGTCACATAGTGAGTGCAAATTTGCTAGTAATTATAATTCTTTTACTTCAGAAGAATAAAATAAAGAGATATTCACCTTGCAAGCAGCTTCAATTGTTTTGCAAAGAGCACCACTACTCGGCTCACAATTGAATATATGAGCGATGAAGAGATCCTGAGCTGTATGCATGATGAATGCACATTGCTTCACATTGGTTCCGATTCCCAAAAATGATAAGTAGCGTACTCGACATTCGGTGATCAATTTCTCATCCTGAATTTAAAAAATAGCAATAATTATAATTTATTATTTATATAACTTATCATTATTTTTAGGTGACTTACATTGGGTGTAAGAATAGAAATCATACTAGGAGCCACAGCGACGTTTACATTCCGCCATTGATTAATAGGGGTGTTTGTCACCATGTGGTCTATTGCGTCGTTCAACACCTCCATTCCCGTAGCTGCAGTTACTTGCATTGACCCAAGATATTGTGCTCGTAAGACTTTTTTTGGTTCTTCCATTGGGGTAGGGAATGATTGTGCTATTTTTATTTTAAACAAGAAATTAAATATTAATATCATAAAAATAATAAAATTATTAATATAAAATAATCAATGTAATAAAATCATTAATATAATTATAATACAATATAATAAATTTACTCATAAATTTCTTAATTTCAATAATAAATTTATTACCATAAATATATCAGCAACTTACCAACCAGAGGCTGATCATTATTTCTGTGAAAGCGGCGATGTTCTGTGGGTAAATTGGTAGGTCTTGTTGCTAGACTAGTTCTGCCGTTAATGTCCACTGGTTTGGCGAGATTCTGGTGCAACGATCGCTCAATCATTATTTTTTTACAAATATCACGCAATGTGTTTGCAATTGTACGGGCTGGTATGTCACACCTAAACACGTGACACATGAATTTTCTAGTCGATCTATCTCTTGCTACGTAAGCAAAGTCCCTAAAAATTCAAAGTTTCACAATTTAGCATTTCATTGGGTCATTTAATAATTATGACATTATATATTTAATTAATTCATTCATTCGAGTGTTTGGATATTTATCTTAATTACCTCTCACTAAATGATCCGTAAAATGCGATAATTGGAAAACATAATTACCATTAAAAAGTTAGTTATTATTATTACTTATACTTATAAAAAAATAATTTTTATTGTTATTATAACGAGAAATTATAATATTTAATTATAATTGAATAAATACCGTCCGTGATCTCTGCCAACTCCCCACACTCTCAAAGTGTGAATTGGTTGGGTGTTAAGTACTGTCAGATTCTCTGGGTCAATTAATTTCAGCGCTCCTTCGTCTAAATCCATGAAAAGATCTTTTCCCTAAAAAAAAATTTCTTGTTTACACTAAAGAATAAATTTGTTGTAATTTATGACGTATCAAATTGACTTACGTCGCCCCATCGACCAACAACGTCTAGAAGGTCATTTCTTCCGAGTGACAAGTCAACGATACACTTGTTGACAGCTTTGCTACTTCTTTCTGGTGTCAAGTCTTCTTCAGCTATTTCCGTCCAACCAAGAGACCGAACGGCGAATCTTATTGGTTTGTCTTTTCCCTCAGAGTCTGCTCGTGCTGGATAACTTCTTCTCCTATTATATTACATGTTAAATATTATTAAAAGAATAAGAAAAATTTTGTTTCTAGGATATTCATATGATAAAATCGGTTTTTTTATTGAAATTTAGTGTCATTGCAAAGGTCAATTTATTATGATTATTTAGGCTGCATGCGAAAATATTTCTAAATAAATAATTAAGAAATGACCTTGTATTTTGTGAAATATTGATATTTTTAAAGATATAAGCTCATCGTGACATTACACTCATTGAGACCTTTCATTTGAGTACCCACATCAATTTTTCATATATTTTATATATTTATATATATATATATATATATATATATGTATATATGAAAAATATATCAAAAATGCATGTGGGTACTCAAATGAAAGATCTCGATGAATGTGACATCGGGGTGAGCTTATATCTTTAAAAATGTCAATAATTAAGAAATTACCTCGTATCTTGTCAACTATTGACATTTTTGAACATATAAGCTCATCTCGATGTTACCCTATTTGAGACCTTTCATTTGAGTACCCACATCAATTTTTCATATATTTTATATATTTATATATATGTATATATGAAAAATATATCAAAAATGCATGTGGGTACTCAAATGAAAGCTCTTGATGAGTCTAACATCGGGATGAGCTTATATCTTTAAAAACGTCAATATTTCAGAAAGTACAGTGCAATTTAACAAAATCCATTATTTAATAAAGCAAAATTTTAATTTTTTTAGTTCACATAGTGACTGCAAGTTTGCTAGTAATTAATAACAAGCATAAAATATAAAGATATTTGACTTTCTTATTTTATTTTTCATATTATAATAAAACTATTATGATACTCAAATTAGCAGATAAAAATTCGCTTTTTTAATTCTTTAAAATTTCTTCATGTGAAATTTTTTTTATTATAATTTAATTATTATAAAAAATTGTTAGATATCTGTCAAATTTAGTATCATAAAAATCTAAAATTTCTTCAGTAAAGTATTACTTAGATTAATAAATAATAAAAACGTACTTTAATGCCAATTCTTCTTTTCGTTTATTTTCTAATTCTTGATCTAACGCAGAACTTGTATTGCTACGTGTCACTGTATTGATTATCATCCCCAGTGAATGAAAATTATTTATCTGTTATACAAATAAATTAACATGAGTATAAACACATAATTAATAATTAAAATGACTATGATTAAAAAAAAAAACTTACACTGTCATTGTCTTTGACAAGACTTTTACGGTTCTCATTCTTGCAATTAAGTGTTGCCTCTGGTGGCTCTCTCTGTATGGTTCCGCTCTTTATGTGCCAGTAGTAAGGGCCATCTTTGTCTGAAAAACAAACAAACAAATCTAATATCTTCATAAATAATTCAATGTGTGCAATGCTGTGTTAAAAAATTCAATAAAAAAGTGTTGTCCGGTAGTTTGCATGCAAACGAGATATCTCACGAGAGTTTTGATGAATCTTTCTGATTATTTTTTTATTTCAGATTCATGGAGATAAAATTCAAATGTAGAATCGCTTGTATTATTTTTTTTTTTAAACAAAAATATTAATTAAAAATTTTATAAAAAAAACATAATTTACCCTCGTGTTTTTCCCAACCAGCCGGCAAATTTTCATCCTTGTCCTCCGAATGCGGACTTTCTGACTCGTCAGGTTTTTCTTTAAAATTATTGTGGAGTTGGTTTGTTATATTTTGATCCTTGGGCTGTCGGCGTTTAACTGGGACAGCATAAAGATCGCTGTTAAGGCCATCTTCTACGTGAGGAACTCCGCCCATTTCTGTTAAGTCGTTATCAGCTTTTTCACAGTAACTGAAATTGAAAGATAAATTAATTTATTATCTATATTATTAAGAGAATAAGAAAAATTTTGTTTTCAGGATAGTTATATGATAAAATCGGTTTTTTTAGTGAAATTTAGTGTCATTACAAAGGTCTTAACTTGAATTCATGACTTTTCATTTTATTCTCACCGATAGTCAATTTATTATGATAAGTATTTAGACTGCATTTGAAAATGCTCTATCTCTAGAATATCTTGTATCTTGTAAAATATTGAAATTTTTAAAGATATAAGCTCATTCCGATGTTACATTCATCGAGACCTTTCATTTAAGTACCCACATCAATTTTTCATATATTTATATATATTATATATATGTATATATGAAAAATATATCAAAATGCATGTGGGTACTCAAATGAAAGCTCTTGATGAGTGTAACTTCGGGATGAGCTTATATCTTTAAAAATGTCAATAATTAAGAAATGACCTTGTATTTCGTGAACTATTGACATTTTTAAAGATACAAGCTCATTCCGATGTTACATTTATCAAGACCTTTCATCTGAGTACTTACATCAATTTTTCATATATTTTATATATATTATATATATGAA